GCCCCACTCTTCTAGGTCCTAGATAGAGGCAAAGAAGGGTAACAAGAAGTAGAAAAAGCAGAAAGAGCAACAGCAGAGAGAGGTCAAGAACCTGGAGGAACAGATAGGAGCTTTCAGTTACTTAATCTCTTCCTCTGGTTTCTTAATTCATTCTTTGTGGCTGCCCACTTCATTCCTTCTTTCATTTCCTGAGATCCAGAGATACCAATAATCCTTTAGAGTGGGGTTTTTCTGAGAATTCCTGTAAATACATCAGTTTGTCTACTTCAAATGAGCCGCCTTTTGACCATTGCAAAGCAGGATTTTTGTAAGTACGCTTACGCCAAATGTGAGAGAATAAAAGAAGCCTTTTATTTTTTAAAAAGAGACCTACTGACAATATTCTAGGCATCTCATATTTTTCTACTTAAAGATGAATCAGATGGGACCTTCAGTGAGTTACCCATTTTGCTCAATTGTAACTTGGAATTTGCAGAGAGGCTTTGGAATTTTCCCTGGGAACCGAATCCCACTCAGCCAAAGTAGTCAGAGAGAGACTTTTTGGCAAACATTCAGAGTTCTTACCTAATCACGGGTGACCACAAATCCTCCAACAAATTCGCCCAGCAAAAGGACTCACTTGAGATATACCAATCTTCCTTATTGCCAAATTGTTGGGATAAAAAAGTAATCAAGGCCCAAAGGAACATGCTAATTCGTAAATGTAGAATTAACTAATTTTGTTACTGAGCAGAAAACCCCTGCGTCCCTGCAGACTGCCCATAAGTGGCTATAGAGCTATGATGAATGTCCTCTATTTATATGGAATTAAAGCTACGGTCCTTTTTAAGTAAATAGTCAACAGATAGTTCATTTGCATCAGTAGCTACATGGCACTTATTCTGACATCCTGTTTTTCATCATTCCTTATCTGGCTCACTCTGATTTTGTAATTCTTTATCAGTACCTCCTCCAGTTGTCCCTTATATTGTATCTAGCATGTATGATGAGTCACATCCTTCATCATGCGTCAGTAAGGTTAGATTAAGTTCAGTCTCCCAAAACCTCTCCTAGCGTGACAAGTCCCATCTGCGGGTTTGAGCCACCAGGTAATTGTCTGCTCAGGCTTAAGTTATTATACTACGAATGATTCTGGATCTTGATGCCTGACACGGACTTCCAAGACAACCGTAGCCATTCTGGAGATTTCTCTGTTAGCATTCATTTTGGGGCCTGATCAGGGGAATACTGGCTGGGAAAGTCCTGGTAACTCAGGGACCCACCCTGCTCATCCCCACTTACCTGCCTTTCCCTCGCCGTTTAAAAGATAAGAACAGTAGTTTGTCCCCAAGTGCCATCTAAGGCTGAGGGGAGGATGAAAGGCAGCTGCCAATTGTATTGAATCTAATTTCGAGTTCCTGTGAAGTTTTACTGTACCTGGATGCAGAGCTACTGTGTTTTAGAGAAAGTACGCCTTCCGCTTTATGGAAGTATTGCCAAATTGCTCTCCCAAATAGTTATACCAATTTACACTCCCACCTGTGATGTATGAGTTCCTACTTTCACACATTCTTGGCAACATCTGGTGTTTGCAGACTTTATTTTTACCAATCTGATGGGTGTGAAGTAGTGTCTCATTTTGGCTTTAATTTGCATTTCTTTACTATTGAACATCTTTTCCTATGTTCATTGGTCATTTGAGTTTCCTCTTCTGTGAATTGATTGTTCATATCTTTTGCCTTAAAAAACAACTGGCTACCTCTTTTAATATATGCGAGTACTTTATATTCTGAGTACTAACCTTTTGATTGGTTTTACATGTTGCAAATCTCTTCTCCAAAGCTATGACCTGTGTTTTTTTTGTTGTTGTTGTTTTTTTTATGGAGTCTTTTGTATAAAGAACTTTCATGTGCCCCAATATATCTATTTTTCTTAATAGCATGTAGTTCTATGTCTTGTTTAAGAAGTATTTTCCTATCCTGATGTGAATGTCTCTAGTAATTTCTTCTAAAACTTTTATAATTTTTCTTTTCATACTTAAATATTTGATCTATCAACAATTTATTTTTTGTATATGGTGTGAGATTAAAATGCAGTTTTATTTTTTCCATAGGAATAACCAGTTGCCCTAGTACCATTTGCTAAATAGTTCATCTTTTCCTCATTGATTTATAATGTCACCTTATTGCTGGCCTTTTGTTTTTCTGTATTAATTTTAAGATTAGCCTCTCAAGTTCTGTGAAGAAAACCTTTGGAGAATTTGATTGGAATTGCAACATACAGATAAATTTGAAATCACTTGCCGTCTTTATTAATCGAATCTTACTGTCCATAAAAATAATATATTGTTCTTTTATTTAAGTCTTCCCTCATGCCCTTTAATATAGGTTTTCGATTTTCAGTTTATCTATAAAGCTCTTGCATGTCTTTTTTTTAAAGATTGGTATGGCTTTATTACATTACAAATCGGATCTTTTTAAATTAAAATTGTACATTGGTTTTGCTGCTATAGCAACACTAATTTTTTAACAAGACGTTATATCTGCAATGTAATAACATACTGTGGTGGAAGAGTGTATCGTATGTATGGTACAGATTCCTACTATCGAAATCTGTTCTATGACCTAGTACATAGCCAATTTATTTATAAAGTTTTCATATTTTTAAAAATATTTTTCCTGTTTAGTTTTGTGCAGAATTTGTATATGTCCATTAGATCAAGCTTGTAATTGATTATTGCAATTATCTATATCCTTATTCAATGTTTTCTTCTTCTGTCAATTAGTATGGTTGTGGATTTTTTTCATTTTGTCTAGTAATACTGTGCTCTTTTGTGTTACTGATTTGGAGATGAGTTTAGAATGACTATAGCTTCCTATTAACTATTACATAATAACTTTTCTGCTCCTAATAATGGCTTTTGCCATAGAATATATTTCTTGGTATTCATAGAGCTGTGCCAGTTTTCTTTTGGTTCATGGTATGCCTAGCATAGCAATTAGGGATGTTTTCAGCTGCAGACAACAGAAAACTTGACCACAGTTTCTTAAACACGTGGAGGATTATGTGTTTCTCAACAAGATGGAGATATTTACCATTAACGATGTGCCGTTTTTCATCCTCGTCCTTGTTTTTTCCCTGTGAGTCTTTGTGGAGAGGGAGGATAATGAAACAACCTTTAATATCAGAATGGCATAGTACAGTATCCTGTTTTATCATCTATAGAATCTTTATCCCGTAATTGTAAATGGTTTGCTGTTTGCACACATTTTATGAAAGTAAAAGTTATTTAATTAATTAGGAGATAGAATTTCCTATTTCTAGAGTAAATGTGACAGTTATCCTTACCAAATGAAATTACCAGGAAGAAATGTTTATGCAGGCCTGTCGTTAGAGCCAGAAGCAATTAAATGCTCAACTCTCAGTAAACCAAGTATCATTAGTTTACTCGCAAAGCTTATTACAATAGATTTCAGACAAGATCCAGTGCATTCAGGGTGGTATGGCCGTAGACACAATGCAATAGATTTCAAAGCATTAATGCAAAGTAAAATTATAATGAGGTTTTAGCAAGCTGACTTTTTGCATCTAGGAATACTTGGTACATGTGTTCTCTCTAGAGATACCATTTTCTACAGTTTTTCTGAAGACTGATTTCAGTATTTTCCATGAAACCTAATATCACTTGGTACCTTTTGCTGGAGTATTCAGCAGGCTATCAGGTCACCCTCCTTACCTAGAAAATGACCTCAAAATTTCCCTTTCCTTATCCCATTCTCTGAAACTTAGTGCATCTGATTTCCCATCTAATCATGCTGACCATTAGGACAGGACTATGGAACCAGGTATTGTCTCTTGTTTGTATTTGGAGCCTTCAACATCTACAAAGCAAGTTAGTCTATTTCTGTTTTTTATAAAAATGATTAACCATATGTTAGATGGTTCTAGGGTTTCCCAGGGAACCCTAGAACAAAATATTAATATGCCTAATGTTTAGTTTCTGCTAAAATAAAGCATTTACCTACATTATTTCATTCAGCCCTCCTTAGTCCTAAGAAGAAAAAATATCTCCATTATAGATAACAAATAGAGCCTTCACACTATAAAAGAACGTAATTATTGCATTCAAAGCAGGAGACTTTTTCTTCAAAAACATTGGAATTAGTATTATTTTTGAATTATTAGGTTAAAATGTACAAGTAGGGCCTGGTGCTAGATAAATACTTACTGAATGACTTCACTCTTAGTTGGGCATTTTCTTTTAGGCACTAAGGCTGCTAATCCAATTTTGAAGGCCGTTTTGTCATCATTAATCCTTGTCCAACACAATATAGTTGAACAGAAACTAGGTGTCTTTTTACTGCAGTGTATGCAAAGTGTTTCTTCTATGAAGTTAAGCATTGTGAACATGTTTTTCCTTTCAGTGAGTGTGTAGTATGTTGTTTTACATTGGTCACCTAATAAAGTTTGTGCATTATTCAATCATTGAGTATTGAAATATACACTAAGAACTTTTGAGAAAGAAAAGTTTTTAGAAACTCATAACTGTTTACTTATGAGTTTTTACAGATTTTTTTACAGTTTTTTACAGATTTTTCAGATTTTTTTACAGATGATTTTTACCACTGTTTTTACAGATTTTTTTTTCTGTATTGAGTTCTTGACATTTGACTGAAATTCTTCTTGCTGTGGTTGAAAGAAGCCCTTTCTGTTTTCTTTATTCTGATCAAAAACAGCTTGTGTCTTTCTGACTAGTTAACCTTTACAACTTTACCTTTGAAAACTCACTTTTGTTTCTTCTCTGGAAAATAATCATCCCAATTTTCTTTTGTGTCTTTCCTCACAGATCTTGATTTTTCAGCTTAGTTATCTTGATGTGTCTCTGAGCTATAAACTCCATTTTAAATCTGACATCTCTTATTACTGTTGTAATTATGTAATAATTGCTGTTTATAAACTTGAATTAATTTACTTAAATTTAGGTTTTATTGTGTTTTAAGTGTTCTGTAATAATCTTTCAGCCATGGAAACAAAGAAGTATTTTCCTGCAGAGGAATAAAATTGGCAGTGGATTGGTTTTTGGAAAGAGGCCACAAAGATATTACAGTTTTTGTTCCTGCGTGGAGGAAAGAGCAATCCCGACCTGATGCTCTCATTACAGGTAGGCTTATTCCAGGCAGCTGCTTGTTCCTCGCTTTCCTGTAATTCCCATGCAGTGTCTGGCACTGTCAGGTATCCTAAATCCGTTTTGCTTACTCAATGTATGCAGTGGGACACTAACGTTGTTTTTTGTTGTTGTTGTTTTCTGAGATGGAGTCACACACGGTCACCCAGGCTGGAGTACAGTGGTGCGATCTTGGCTCACTGCAACCTCCACCTCCCAGGTTCAAGCGATTCTCGTGCCTCAACCTGCCAAGTAGCTGGGACTACAGGCACGCACCACCACACCCAGCTAATTTTTGTATTTTTAGTAGAGACAGGGTTTCACCCTGTTGGCCAGGCTGGTCTTGAACTCCTGACCTCAACTGATCTGCCCACCTGTATGAGTTTCAGGCAATGATGGCCTCTATAACTGTTCACTCCCAAAATGCTGGGATTACAGGCATGAGCTACCGTGCCTGTCCTGGTTTTGAGTTTGAAAACT